TGAGTGTATTTTAATTGAGTATAATTTGATTGATAGAGTGTTTGCTATGAGTTTTGATAATGTTAGTAATAATACTGCTGTTATACCTAGATTGCGTGAATTGTGTGGTTCTTCTACTTTGATGGATAAGTTTTTTCATCAGCGTTGTGCATGTCATATTCTCAATTTATGTGTAAAAGATGGGCTAGCGGCGTTTGAAAATGACATGGAGAGAGTGAAAGAGGGAATTAGACTTATTTGAGCTAGTAATCCACTAAAAATGCAATGACGTCAATATTTGAGGGATAGATGTGTGAAATATTGTCAATTTCCTAAAGATTTGTCTATTAGCTGGAATAGTACTTATAACTTAATTGTTGTACTTATTAGATGTAAAGACCATTTTCCTGCAGTTTAAAAAGAATATGCTAACTATATTATAAATCCCGCTGACATCGACACTATGGAAAAAATTGTCAATGTTTTGGTATATTTTAATAATGCAACTCAAACTTCTAGTCATGTTTATAAACCTACCGCAAACCAATTTTTTGTTGAAACTGTTAATCTCGTCGGTGCTTTTGCAGAATTTTCCGATGCCCCTTGCGTTCATCATTTTTGTTCTTACATGAAAGAAAAGTTTTTAAAATATTATTCACATATTCCGCATATATATGGTATTGCATTTATTCTTGATCTTCGTTTCAAATTGAATGCTTTTCAAAATTGTTTAGAGTACTATTATGCTTCTTGTTTGGTCAATTTCCAATGTACGAAGATAAGTCCATAGATCCTAAAGATCAATACAACGAGATTAGTAATTTATTTCATCAATTATATAATGAGTTTCATGCATAATATGGTAACGCGCCCCCTCCCCTGACACGAACATCTTCTTCATCTAAAGGAAAATCATTTTTGAAATCTACATTTGGCAATCTTATGAAAAAAGTAAAACAACTCCCGTTGTTGTACAAACCTCAGTTAACGAGCTTTATTTATATCTAACGTTTCATGTTGACTATGAAGACGAGGATGACTTTGACGTTCTGCAGTGGTGGAAGCAAAAAGAAAGAACGTTCCCGATTTTATCAAAAATGGCTAAGCAAGTGTTAGCAATGCCGATATCAATTGTTGCGTAGAATAAGAATTTAGTGGGACCGCCAACGTCCTAACGAGTTTTAGAACAAGATTGAACGCAAAATCTCTTGAGACGCTTGTTTGTTTCCACGATTGGTTGAAGGCCGAACATAAAACTCAAGAACTTAACATCTCCCCCACCAGCCACTTAATGGAGGAAACGACAACCGACTGTGCCGGAGATTCCCACTGATTATTAGGAAATGTATTTAATGTTTTCAATTTTTTTCAATTCTCAATTGTAGTTCATAATTCAAATAAGAAAAAATTCCACTTTTGGTCCCATGACTATTATACCACCTCTACATTTAGTCCCTTACTTTCAGATTGTCCACATTTAGTCCATGACCATTATCCCCTCACCACCACTCGTCCTTCCGACCAAAATTCTGGCAAATTTAATGCAGATTTTAGGTATGAAATACCAAATTTAATACAAAGACTGATATGAAAAACCCAACCTTATATAAAATTTAATGCAAAGACATATTTTGAGGCTGATAAGTGAACTAAATTTGCCGAAATTTTGGCCGGAAGGACGAGGGGTGGTGAGGGGATAATGGTCACGGACAAAATGTGGACACTCTGAAAGTAAGGGACTAAATGTGAAAGTGCTATAATAGTCATGGGACCAAAAGTGAAATTTTTTCTTCAAATAAATATACTTTAACTTTTTATTGTCTAGCACTTCTTGAATTAATTTGTAAACAAGATTAAAAAAATCCTAACCCAACCCAAGATCTAGACGGGTAGACCGGCCCTTCTCAGTCCCGGTAGAGTCCCGGACCGGTACCGGGTAGGGATGGACTAAACCGGGCCGGCCCGACCCGGAATCGGCCCGGCCCGTTACTGTTTGGGCCCGGACCGAACCGGGAACGGTTGGCCGGTTCCGGGCTTTTAGCCCGTTTGGGCGGGTCGGGTGTGCCGGGCTCGGGCCCAACTTTTGGTGAACCGGCCCGGAAGGTTCGGGCCGGGGCCGGTTCAATTTTTTTTTTGTTTTTTCAATTTTGTTTGCTTTTCTAGGTTAGGGTTGGGTATTCTGGGGGGGTTTGGGGGGTGGGGGTGAAGGGGGGTCGGGTGTTAATTATCAACTCGGGCCAGTTTCGGGCCCAACATTTTGCAAAAAAAGCCCGCCCAGACCCGGCCCGGAACCGGAACCGGACCGGCCCGGAACCGGAACCGGACCGGCCCGGGTCCATCCCTAGTACCGGGCCTTAAGCCCAAAATTCCAATACCGCCCCAATCATTCGGAGCCCGGCCCGATCTATCCCTAAGTTCGACAGAAGCCGACAAAGGTCTTCAAATTGATATGGGGAACACAAGTATGCCTGACTCTTGATATTTTACTATTCATTAGTTACTTTTGTCACCGAGAAAAAATCAGTCAGAGATAGCTTAACTTAGGCATGAACCGGTTCTGAGCCAAACTCCAGGCCAGGCCGAGCGCCGAGCCAGTCCCAACCGGGCTTTTTTATGTTGGTTTAAGGCCCAAAACCAGCCCGAGATTCTATCGAGCCTGGACCGGGCGGTCCGGGCCTAGGCGTGGTCAGGCCAGGTACCTTATTTTTTTTTTTGCTTTTCTAATTACTTCCTACCCCCCTACCACCACCCCAAACCGCTCCAAAACACCGGCTCAACCCATTTACCTCCCACTTGAAAACAAAAAAATGACCCGGATCGGTCCATCCCTAGTTTTAACTTCCTAACGGATTTAGAGGCATGATTCTTTACGATACTGGATTTAAGGGATAGTTAATGGTTAAGAAAGGAATCTAACATAAGGTTATATAATGGACATAGTACATCTGTGGAATTTAATAACGGCTATTTAGCTTATTTTTGCTAATCCATAGTTCCATTACTTCCATATAGGGATGGACTCGGGCTGGTCCGGTTCCGGTTCCGAGCCGAGCGGGCTTTTTTTGCAAATCCATGGGCCCGGAACCGGCCCGGGTTGATACCGGGTCCGGGCCTAACCGGGCCGGGTTCAATGTCTATTTTTTTTTTGCTTTCTTGTTATCCCCCTCACCCCCCCTCACCCCCCACCCCCCAAACCTCCGCAAAACACCCAGCCCTAGCCTAGGAAAAGAAAAAAAAAATTGAAAAAAAAAAAAGAAAAAAAAGACCCAGGCCCGGCTAGTGTTGGATTCGGTTCGGGCCACCCGGCCCGTGACCCGGCCCGGCCCAGTACTGTGCGGGCCCGGGACCGGCCCGGTCGGGCGGTCCGGGACCGGGTGTGGACCCGAACCGGTGGGAATGGGCGGGGCGGGCACGGTTCCGGAAAAATCTGACCCGGCCCGGCCGGGTCGGGCTCGGGCCCGGGTCCGGGTCTAACGGTCTAATTTTTTAAAAAAAATATATATTTAATAAATTGGTACTAGCCGTTGGGGGTGGGCTGGGGACAACCCAAACGGCTATATAGCCGTTGGGTGGGGTGCAGGGGGGTCCGGGGGGATGGGTGGTGGGGGTGGGGGTGGGGGGTAAAAAAACCTATAATACTCCTAATCTTAAACATTTTTTCATATCTCTTCTCCAATTCTTCCTAAATCCTATTCTTCACTCTCTACTCTCTAATTCTCTTATTCTCCATTCTCCAATATATTATATTTATTATTTATAGTTTATATTAATTATCTACTTATATAAACTATAAATAGATATAAATAGTATTATATTACTTATATTTGTTATCTAATTATATATTACTTATATATTTATTATATCTATTAATATAGTTGGAATTATATCTCATTAATTTGAAGTCATTCTATTACTCACATCCGAAAGTCCGAAAGAGGTACGAAATTATTCAATTATTTACACTTGTTTAATTACTAGTTAATTTGCTACATTTGACTCTAGTTTAAAAAATATGTTGTACACAAAACTAGTTAATTCACTAGTTAATTTGCTATAACTCGAATTAATAGTTAGATAAATAGTTAATTATTTTTTTACAATTTTTTATTAATTGCTACATTTGACTCTAGTTTAAAAAATATGTTGTACACAAAACTAGTTAATTCACTAGTTAATTTGCTATAACTCGAATTAATAGTTAGATAAATAGTTAATTACTTTTTTACAATTTTTTATTAATTGCTACATTTGACTCTAGTTTAAAAAATATGTTGTACACAAAACTAGTTAATTCACTAGTTAATTTGCTATAACTCGAATTAATAGTTAGATAAATAGTTAATTACTTTTTTACAATTTTTTATTAATTGCTACATTTGACTCTAGTTTAAAAAATATGTTGTACACAAAACTATCTAATTCACTAGTTAATTTGCTATAACTCGATTTAATAGTTACATAAATAGTTAATTAGTTTTTTACAATTTTTTATTAATCGCTACATTTTTTAGATGGATCGTCCTAGATATTCGGTTTATATGGTTAACCTTGAGCGCAACCGAACGAAAGAGCTTGCGAGGAAGAGATCCCGCAAAGGTAAATCACATATCGGCTCTTCATCTCAAAGTCGAGATGATTTTGATACAGGTTACGCAAGGAGGGATGGGGATGCGATGACCGACGAACAACTAGAACAAGAATTGCACCGACATAATTCCCGCTTTTTTCAAGACCAACCGAGGACCATTGACGAAGAAGAGCTCGAGGACGAGGATGACGATGTGGAGGAAGTAATTCCGGAGAGCCACGACGACGAGGAGGAGGAGGGTGGCGGCAGCCATGACGCCGACCAACCAGCCTCATCCCAAACAGATACAAAAAAAAGTAAATCTGAACTAATGGCTAATAATTTTTCTAAGTGGAAGGACCCGAACACCGGGAATTGGACCGCAACTTGCAATCGGTGCAAGAAAAACTATAGCTTGGGGATTTCCGGCGGATACGGATCCGCCACAAGACACCTTAAATCCGAAAACCCGGTGGAGTATGCAAAATTAGGGGGCGGAACGGGGAAGCAAACGCAAATATCGAGGTTTGCAAATAACCAACAAGCTTTTGGTAATTTCTCATACAATGATGCACAAAATTTGACAGGTATGACTAACTTACTTGTTGAAGAAAATTTGCCTTATTTATTTTCTGAAAGTCTTACTTTTCGTGATTATGCACAAACTTGTTTAAATCCACAATATAGAGGTTATAGTCGCAAAACGGTTAAGAAAGAAATTTCAAGGCTTTATGGTGCAGAAAAGGTAAGGTTACAAAATTATTTTTCAAACTTTGATGGACGTGTTACTGTATGTTCTGACATATGGGAGGATACTTATCATAATTTACATTATTTGGGTCTGACTGTACATTATATTGATAATGATTGGCATATGCATAAACGTGTTCTTGCTTTCCGTGAATTTAATGATCGTCACACCGCTGAACATATTTATATTTTGATTGAGCGTATTTTAATTGAGTATAATTTAATTGATAAGGTGTTTGCTATTGATTTTGATAATGCTACTAATAATACTGCTGCTATTCCTAGATTGCGTGAATTGTGTGGTTCTACTTCTTTGATGGTAGATTTTTCATCAACAATGTGCATGTCATGTTCTAAATTTTAGCAAAGATGGCTAAGCAAGTGCTATCAATGCCAGTTTCAACGGTTGCCGTGGAACAAGAATTTAGTTCGGCCGGCAATGTCCTAACACAAACCAGAACGAGGTTGAACGCTGAATCTCTTGAGATGCTTATATGCTACCACAATTGGTTGAAAGCAGCCCGTAGAGCTCAAGAAATTAACATCACCCCATCCCAACACTTTATGAATGAATCTACAACCGAAGGTGGCTCTACCTATGCCGGAGATTCCGATTGAAATATTGAATGATTGATTAGTAATTCATGTTTTAAAAACAATTATAGTTCCTACTTAATTTTCAAATGTAGTTCCTATTTCATTTCAAATAAATGCACTTGAAGTTTGTTTTTTAATACTTGTATAAAACTATAAAGTATAAAATATAAATTAAAATACATATATATTTAACCAACCCAGCCCGGCCCGGCGGGTGGCCCGACCCGTGACCCGTCCAACCCGCGGGCCGATCCCAGGCCCATGTGATACGAACCGGCAGCCCGACCCGGCCCGAATCCACCCCTGGGCCCGGCCCAAACCGCCCGGGCTGGTTCGCCCAAAACTGGACCTGAGCCCGGCCCACCCGACCCGCCCAAACGGGCTAAAAGCCCGAAACCGGCCAACCGGTCCCGGTCCGGTCTGGGCCCGCACAGTAGCGGGCCGGTTCGGTTCCGGGCCGGTTCGGCCCAGCCCAGTCCATCCCTACTTCCATACTTATAAAACATGAAAATACATATTACCAAATGGCACGATACAGGATAATCATTTTACTCAACGTGTAAGCCCATTCCGTCCCGTTTTAGATTGGTTTGGGATAGATTCAGGGTGAATAAATGTTATCCCTTTTGGGAACATGCAAATCAGTTATGTACCGTTAAGGTCCGGTACCATGCTTTTACGTTTTTCCCCTAACTTGTAAATGGGTAAATTACATTACAATATACACTCAAGCCGTAAGAGTTCATGATCTAGCAGTTATGCTTAAGTCAAGAAAACCAGCGAAAATAAAATGACAAACAAAACTAAAAGAAAACAGATCATCATAATCTGACCCTTCGCACCTGCCTTCTTCATTACTACAGCAACCTTTTTCTGCAACCAAAGTGCAATTTCAAATATAATTACGGATGTTCTAATGCAAAGTTTGGATTATTGGTGCAGTATACCTTGATTCCAAAATGTTCAAAAATGGTAATCACAATTAGGGCTGCTAAACTTTAGAATCCTAAAAAATCTTAACTAATTACCTGAATAAAATCAAGACGGGTAGATGTGCTATCCAACTCTGAACCCAAATCATCAATAATCTTTTCCTACAAAATCACCAAAATTACAGTTTAGACTTTAGATACATACCAAATTACTAAACCCACAAGATATTTTGAGAAGCAACTCATATAAACAGCTTATGCATAAGAGCGATCCGAGTTTCACTAGAAACGATTTTTAAGAGCGATCAGAATTCACTCAAATAACCCACAAGTGTTTCCGTTCCTTGTTCCCGTACGCAAACGACTGCAGCAGCATTTTACAGAGCGATCCGAGTAGCGTTCGGAACGCTTCCGTACCGCGTTTGGGTACGCGGCGTTCAGAACGCAGTTCGTGGGTGTTTGAGCGATTTATGTATCTATGGTTCAAACTAGTCATAGCCTTCTACTAGGGAACTATGAGCCCATTGGGTAATGCTTAATCCTGCTGCTGAAATTGTGAAATGGCTGGATATCATCATTTTCATCATTTTCATTTACCCCAATGCCGCAAAGGCTCTCACCTACGGTGGGGTAAGGGGGGGTCGGATGTACGCAGTCTTACCCCTGTGCTAAAGAACAGAAAGACTATTTCCGGATGACCCATAGTGAAAATCGCGTCCAAAATTGCATGGACTGACTGATGCTCCATAACAAAGAAGCGCAGACAGTTTAGTGAGCCATTTTGCTTTATTCCATCATAATCTCAAGCCAAAAATTAATGAATCTTTGGCTCCAAGAAATGGCTGGATATGTTGAGGAATAAAAAACAAACACATACTCAAATGTGTTTTAAAATACATATTTAAATAAATTAATAAAATTAATAGCTAAAATCAAAGCTAGAAGCATCCATTTCAGCAATTCCAGCCAAAAAACTAGCCGAAGGTTAACAAGTCAAAAGTTGCACCCATTGAATGGGCTCTTAGAATATAGCTAACCTGTCCAAGGAGTTCATCGTGAATAGTGAGCCCGACACCTCCTATTCTTTCTATGCTAGCACTAAGCTCATCCAGCTCTTCATCTTGTTGCCTGCACAGAAGAACCCACACTCCATGATGAGAAAAAGACACTTATTAAGTAGAAACTAGAAATACCTCAAAAGATAAAAAAAAAATGTTTCCATACAGTATGTTGAGAATAGGAAAAGCATGGAAGAATAATCAAATCATGAACCAAGCCTGATAAAAAGAAGGTTACTTTATGAGAAGTAATTGTGTGTCAGATTCTGATGATATAAAATCATCATTATAATGATTGGTGTCCTGGTCAGTTCTGCCAGTACGAGTAGAATCTGGCATCCTCATTAGTTCTCTTCGCATTCCAGCAGCAGCAGCTACCGTGTTCTTCACATTGCCTACCTATATAGCAAGTGTCAACTACTGATGCTATCTAAAAGTATCCAAGAGCTTATTTGGTTAAGGAGGTTCTGAGGGGAGGGAGGGGGTTATGTTTTGTTTAAGGAATTTATACAGTACTTATTTGTTAGTTTTGGGCTAGAAAATAACCATCCGTTTAGTTAAATTATGTATTTCTTTATATTCTATCATCTTCACTTTATTTTAACCATCTAAATAACAATATTTTATAGATAATAGAATACAGTATCACCCCCTCAACCTTGAAAAAAGGGCCAAGGAACCAAAAGGTAATGATAAACAAGAACAAATGATTTATGAATGCATTAGGGAAGCAGTGACTTTTTGTCAAATAGTGACAGCCACAATGGTGAATTATAACGGTTACTTTGGAGGAGCTTATCCGATACCTGAGCATGGGCGTCACTGGTCCACTTTCGTCGTTTTTCAAGCTCAGCTTCATCGATTCCATACCAAGAAGGATCTCTTGCTGCAACATCAATAGCTTTCTCCAGCTCATCTACCTTAAATTTAAGGTGTAATATAGACAATGTAAAGTCCTCAGCATAGTTAAATGCCACGCAAATCTAATACAGACTGACAGTCAAATTTGTTATCAGCAATATTTATTAAAACAATAGGACCAAATCCTTTAAAAATCAGAATTTCAGATAATGCTAAAGCATGGGTTACAATGGTAGCATCAATGATGAATGATATACAAGCATAATTCAAATATAGGCGTAAAGCAATGCAAGTAAATATGTACCTGCCATTCAATGCTCTCACATGTCGCATAAAGCTCTTCTCTAAGGCGAATGCGATTTCCATTGCTTGAGAGAGTGTGCTCCCACTCGTGGAATGTCAATAACAGTTTCTCAATCTAGCCATACAGACAAATTAAGAATGAATTGTGGATACATAAAACAGCTCAGTTTTGCCAGTGAAAAGCATCTCAGCTTAAACGAGCTTCTCTCTTTGCTCTAAAACAAAGAGATAGCACGCTTGCAGCCTAATAGCAAAATTACGAGTTTGCAACTAACAAAAGAAAATGAAAACACAGCAATTTGTTAAATATGAAAATTCTAATGTGTGCATACACATAAACAGGATAAGCAAATAACACACACATAACTCAAATCTGCATGTTATTGTATGTGTATCCCACATAATGGAAAACAAATCTCTTTCCATGGATCACACAAAAGGAAGAACTTATATGTATGAGTAATGAAAAATATGATTAGCAGATATATTCCCTGAAAATGAATAGGATCACTGGATCCTTGATTAAAACAACTTACAGATTCCTGGATCTCCTCCTTCACAATGTAAAAAGGATCTTTAGCTGAAGACATATTTAGGCAAGCCTGTTTGCATATACCTAGAAACATAAGATTGAATGATATCATATACTAATACAAGGTGTCCTAACAAGTAACAACGCATACCCTCAAAGACACTTAGGCAATCAGGCCGTAAAGCATCTCTATCTCTATGACTGTATATAAAAGCTGGAGCGCCTGGGCCTGTTCTCCTGATGTCACTCTGACATCATCATTATGTCATCACGGGATGATGTGACACTTGCTCACATTCAATCTGCAGAATCTCGGCTCTTCTTGGTACTAAGGATGTTTTTACTTAGACTGTAATTTGCTGGTCTGATCTGGTCTGTTTTGGTCTGTTTTGGTCTGTTCTGTTTTGGTCTGGTCTGAAATTTTATTTTTTATATTTTTTGCATAAAGATTTTATTTTTTATATATATTTTATAATCCATAAATAATTATATTTTATTCATTTATAATTAAAAATAATAATATTCCTTCCAAATTATCGAAAATTGTTATCGTTTTACTTGGTCTGATTTCAATCTCAGGCCGAAGCAGATCAAACCAGACCAGACCAAAACAGAACATACCATATCGAACCGGAATAATAATAATAATAATAATAATAATAATATCAATAATAATAATAACAATAATAATAATAGTAACAATAATTATAATAATAATAATAACAATAATAATAGTAGTAGTAGTAGTAATAATAATAATAATAATAATAATAATTAGGGGCGTGCACTATCCGGTTTAAACCGGAAAACCGGACCGAACCGGCTAGAAAAACCGGAACCGGATCGAACCGGAATGATATCCGGTTCGGTTCGGTACGGAACAGTCCGGTTTGGAGCTCAACTTGTTGTTCCTCTCCCCACTTGTTCCTTGGAATCCTTCTTTTCTTATCCTAATAAAATGCCATTTCTATAATAATAATAATAATAATAATAATAATAATAATAAAATATGGTCTGATCTGGTCTATTTTAGTCTGATCTGGTTTGTTCGGGTCTGTTTTGGTCTGGTTTGGGACGAATTAAAGTCATTAAATTACAGCTTATTACAGCTCCTTAATTTAGAAAAGTATTCATCCTTTAACTGAAAGAACAGTTAAAGAACGAACCTCAACAACACCTTCTAAGCTTGATCCACTCACTGCTGATAAGATACTCCGTATGTTGGAACAAACAAAACAAGATGCGATAAAATAAGAAGACAGTTGGTAATAATCGACTAACCTCGGTCGGTCAGTCGGTCGGGATATTAGACGAACGGCGTGGTGTAGGCTGCGTCCGACTAAGGGGAAGAGGAGCAGCTGGAAACGACGGAGAGAGATGCAGATCGGATGAATTGCTACACCGAAGAGACGGTTCGAATACAAGCGGAAGTATCTTGGGGATTTGATTTTCTAATTGGACTGCATTCAAACACTTTGGGCCAATAATATAATTCATTTTCTTGGGCCGCTTTTAAATTGTACTCCCACTATTAAAAAATTGTTACCTTAGGTAAAATACATCTTACAAGTTACAACCAGTTTTACCGTGCACACGGTAGCCAGACTT